TGCCAGATTAAAAAGAGCATTTTCAACCATGGGCAGGGTCAAAACTGACTACATGTCATGTTTGAGTGAGGCTGTTTTTGAACACTGTGTTCAAATTTCATTAACTGTCCACCAATGGAAAATTTGCCTCTGTTGAAGCTGGTTGATAAATGGTTCCAATCCGAAAGGCAGCATAATACACAGCCATATAAAAAGCAAAAGTCAGAAGAAAATAACATGACACCAACAATGTCTGTTGTTGAAAACCATTCAGAATCTTCTGGTATTGTTGAAATTGACTGAAAATATGAAAGACAGTATTGTACTGTACACTAACTTACTAAACCTTCTTTACCTTAATCAATGATGTTCAATAATGTTTACATTAAATAAAAATACATAAAAAAGGGAATGTGTATATATTTCTTCTCAATTTTGTTTCATTTACTGTTGTTTAACTTGTTTTCACAAAGTTTTGATTGCGAATCACTGCTATGCAGTTGCAACAAACTGCTAATCATTTTAGCTCCTGGTTAGCAACATATGATGTAACACTGCTATGCACCTTTTCCAATCTAAATTGAACCCTGCTATTAGCAGAATACTATAGCTAGTACTACCACTACTGGTATAATTGCATGTGATGAGACATACACAAATCATAAATATGAAGGTGTGGCCTAGTGGTCATTGGTTACATAACTAGCTACAGAGATTATTGTTGCTCATGTTTACCTTGTTTGGATTACATAATAGTGTAGTTTAAATGCAATGTATTCCTTACATATTACAAGCTACAAACATAACCAGTGTTACTCAGGATAAGATTGCTTTAATCACAAAAACAAAAGCTATAGCTAGTTGTAATCATTATTTGCACAAAGATTTTTTGATTGCTAAATGAATTGCTCATTTAACTGTGTCAGTCAGATATTACTAGACTTGGACTAATAAAAGTATAATAATACATAACAATGTTAAGACTTTAACCAGTTTATACAAATAGGACTCCTTTTAATTGCTACCTCTTAATAAATAGGAAGTACTGAAAACATAAAAAAAATGTCTGTCATCACATGCCTCTTAACACTGCACAACTAGTAAACTATAAATTTTTTGATTTTTCTGATTTCTCAGCATGCCCACGTGTTTCTAGTTTTCTGCATCAACTTTTTACTTAAAAGCATATGACAATTTATACTTATAAAAGTTATTAATTAATCCTTAAGTTCTTTACACTGATGATGGAATTCTAAAGAAATTCTGAAAAACTGGTAATTAAAGATTTTTTTGGTATTACAGTGATTATATTTCTTATAAAATTTCAATTTCCACCTTATTATTTTAATCTCTGCAGAGGTTATCAACACACGTTTCTCTAACAAATAGTAAACCTTAAACTGTTTGTTTTTCTAGGATCAGTGAATTTTTCACTGATTTATATATTATCTATCATACAAAATTCTTTATTAATTTTATCATATGAAAGCTAAAAGAAATTTTAATGAAGCAACAGTTTATTTAGTTCTACTTGTCTTCTGAAACTGCAGGGAGAAACCTACAGAATGGTATTAACCATAATTTCAGAATGTTCAAGTTTTGTATTCTGTTGCATGTATGATACATTTTCATATATGTCAGTTTGGGATTATTTTGTTTGTTGTCAAGCAAAAAACTACCCAGACAAGCTAGCTGTGCTGTGTGCACTGCAGGTATCAAAATTGAATTTTTAGCACTATAAGCCCTCAGACTGATCCACTGGGGGCATTTAAGATCAAAAAGTAACTTAATCCTACATTTCTCCACCTGAAGATGCCTATCATATTAAGTAGAGTAGTTTGAAAATGTTTTATATCAACAACAAAATAAACAGAAAATAGGAAGGTTAGTCTCATGTGAGAATAATCAATTAATAAACTAGCAAATTCCACCAAACACCCAAGTCTAGAATAAGCTAAACAAGCAATCAAATCTACTCATAGGGTATAAATTCCTATGTTGTTATATGTGCCCCTAATCATTCACTATAAAACTTTGTAACAATGGACATTTATCTAAAAAAAAATGGTCTTCCAAAATTTTACCTAAAAGTGACATAATTTAGAGGTGTAACTCATTTTGATGCAAGACTTCCTATTCCTATCAACTATAACAAAAGTTCCAAAAACTCATTATCACAAAAATGTTTGCCACCCCAAACCCCCAGTGAAAGCAGATGAATGCTTTACGAGATCTTCATATCAATGGTAAGCTTATTTTAATATATAGAATGGTAACTTTGGATATGTTAAACCAGTTTTTGAGTGATATAAAATTAAAGAGGTTTCACTTATTTGCATTATTTAGTAAACTCTAATTTGCAGATAAAAAAAAAGAGAAGCTGAATTTATTTCCTGAAGAGAAGTTTGAAAGTAAAACAAGTGAGGAAGTGTGATTGATCTTTGATAATTACTTTCTTTGCCATATTAAATTGTGTTGTAGCTTTCCTTTCTAAGTCTTATTATTATTGGACTTTCTAGAGACTTTATGCATTTCCTTTTTGGCACTATTTTCTACTTCCTGTAGTTAGTTCTATATGTTGGTTAAGTGTCACAGATTAGTTAAAATGAGAGTAGTAGTAGTTTTAGATCACCTTCTAGCATATTGTTTTCTTTGTATTACATTTAACAGCATTATATTTTCATGAACAATTCAGGTATTTTTTAATTCATTATTCTGTACTTTCACAAACTAGTTTTTGGTTGTACTATGGATAAATTACTGCTAACTTCATACAATTTCAACAGTACCATATCATAAATTTGTCATGCTCAAATATGCCACCCTGCTTTAAAATTACACTGTGGAGTAGTTTAACTAGTTTTCACAGGTCAAAAGACAAGTTAGGAAGAAAAGAAGAAAAACAGGCGTGTCATAGTGATATTATATTTTTCAAAAATAATTCATTCTATGACAGTATTTCAAGCCAACCACTATTGTTTCTGTGTTCTCTAATCATACTCTATTATTTACTTATTGTTACTTTCATTAACAGTATTGGCTGGACTGTTTAATATAACAAATATTACTTTTATTATAGTTTGTTTTGCAGTGTTAGTTTAGTCAAATGTGTAAAGATCTGATAAGAAAAGAGGTGAATTACTATTTTGTTTGTAAAATACAAAGAAAACCTTATAACAACTAGTGAAATTAATTACGATACTAAAGGTATTTTTGTGTAACTCATGTTATTAGAGAAAGTTTTACCTATAAATTAATGACACTTTGACTCAAGATGATTAGGTTTTAGTAGAAATGCTAAAAATCACAATAAAAGAAATGTTTACTCTATGTTATACCTATCCACAAGCTTTTTGAACAATAAAAAAATAAGGATTTTTTTTCATGCAAACCTCTTCAGTAATCCATTCTGCAAGTTGGGAAAATCTAAAGTTTTCATCACATACAAGAATTTATTGACTTTGAAGTATTTCTTGCAATCCAATCTCCTCCAAATTTATTAACTAACAAAAAAAGAATTTTCATTCTATAACACGACATAATAGATGTAATTAGGTATTATTTGTTAGTTTAAGCATTTAGAACTTCATAGGTTCCTAGTTTTTCTCAGCACACAGAGTGATTCTTGCATATGAAATAAATTTCATCAAATATTCTCAAAGTTCACAATCTGCATCAATGAAACTGAAACTGTTTAGGATACTCATCAGTTTCTAGAATGCATTAGTTTTCTTAGTGCTGGCCTACATAATGCATTCTAAATGTACTTACCAGTGTTCACATTTTACACTTACAATCAATGTCTATGACATACTAAAGAAATAAAGAGAGCTGAGTACATTATATTAAAATGATTTTGAATATGCAGATCAGCTAGTCACATGACATAACCACAAGAGATATAAAGTTGAGACAGAACGGTATGTGTCAGAACAACATTTTTGTAGTGTGATTCCATCAAAAATTGATAATGTTTTGGAAAGGTATGTAAAAGTCCCATTTAATGCAAAATACTCATGCATTCAGATCATAAAGATGTGTTCAGTTTGGGAATTTTGAATTTGCAAGACAGGAATATCTCTTTTAATTAATGGCAATAGAAAACAAAGGAATATGGATCAACTTAGGAATCCAGAACCATTAAAAAAAAAAAATCTGCAGCAAGTCACATGTTAGCCATGGTGTGTTGTCTAGTAACAAAGGATAATCTACGAACACAGACATTGAGTGTCAAAAGTTATCCACTTGTCCTAGGAAAGAATATGCAATATAATCAAGAAGGATCTCAGTCTGGCAAAGCAACACAAGTCATGTGTACACAAATTGCTTCCATAACATATCTGTTCAACAATCACATACCTCAATCATCTGGAAAATGAAACAAGTACTCATGAAGACATACTGGTCAAGTTGCCGGATGTACTGACTATACACTTATGTGTGATCAAACTGTTAAAACTGGCACTGGAAAACTGCCATCCTTTTACATTAGATGGATTAAGGAAAGCAATAGGAAAGAGTGGTATGCTTTGGATATGACAGCCTTACAACAGAGCCTTTTGCTAAAAAAAATACACTGCAGAGCTATTTCCGTGATGAGCAATAATCATATAGAGCATAAATGGACATGACAACATGGACTGTAGAGACATGGTGAAGTACCAAAATCATTTTAATGAAACATACTCAACTTTGTACTTAAAAGTAAGAGATTTCTTCCTGTATTATCCTCACTCATTCTTCCTTACATACAGTTCTAATACCGAAGAAATATTCTTGCAAAGAAGAGAGTACTTAAAAGCTTTCATTTGCTAATTTAAGAAATTAATGGAGTCAAAAATGCTTGAAATTGAAATTTTTGATTAACTTCACAATGTGAAACCAAATTCAAGCAACTTTAAGAAATGTTTGAAAGATTAAAAATTGGCTATTTAGTAAATTTTGTTAACTAAAAGCAAATATGGGGCCCTTTTAATTACTCTCTATGTTTCACATCAATTCAAAGGACTTCTTCAAATCACCCTTGAGGCTTTTGGCTTCATTGGAGTATGGGACAAGGGCTGCAGTCATCATTTTCCAGCCACCCTGAGATAAGAGGAATGGGAGATGATTTCAGCTATTGGAAATATTATTCTCTCTAATTTTATGCTTGAATTTAAATGCCCCAAGCCAGTTTTATATGTATATATAACTAAATTATGTGAAACTACATCACAAAATCAAAAATGCAATTTCTCTATGTAAACTATGCTGGTCGGTTCTGCCAAAAACTGAGAATCACACTAATTACAATTTTTTTTTTTTACAATTTCATAACCTGAAATATTTAAATCATATCTAAAAATTTACCAAGACTGACATCAAACAAATATTTCAATTTAAGTTCAGAATTCCTCTTTTTAGAAAAGTATGTTTACATTTTAATCCTGGTGTCTAGAATTAACGTTTCCTGGTTTGTTTATTTTTTCTGGTAGACCAAAATTATGTTCTAATGATACTGAAAAAAGAAGTGTGAATAAACTGTCTTCAATATAGGTTTGGTATTAAATGATGTTGTTCCATCAGTAACTTATATGAGAATTCAAAACAACTTTTCCAAAAACCATTTTACACAAAACATATCTGAGTAGGTTGCAAATACAAAATAGTTAAGTTTACAAAAAAACACATCTCTTTAACTTTTGTTGAAATTAATTTCTTGAAATTAAAATGGTGTGTTATTTTAATAAAACTGAATCAACACTAGATATAGTGTACACACAGTTTTGAAATATCTGAATTGTTAATTCATCATGAATGTGTACTGCATGTAAGCAACTAATAAACTAATAATGGGTAAGTTTTTGTAGTTTGCAAAAATAATTTTGTAATAAAGCTGCTTCAGAAAATTACAAAATTATTTTAGTGGAGGAATTTAACATTATTCAATTAACAATTTCTAACAAAATTTTGTTTCTGTAAAGCAAATCTCTGTTTTAGTGTATAAATACCAGTAAAATCTTTGCCAGTATTGCAATGTTTTGACACAAACAGAATGAATAAATGAATGATTTAATATCGTAGCTGCATGAAAGCATACAATGTATTTCAAATAAAGATTTAACTCTATGCTCACTAGTGTGTGTATGTATTGCAATGCCAGATCAGATTCAGAAAACTTCATACATAAAAATATATGGCTAGAAAATTGGAAGGACTGCCATTATATATATCATAATTTGCTTTATGGATTGTTTTTTTTTTCTATCAAAAGTGAAATGAAGTTAAACCAGTATCGAAATGACAACATAAAGTTTCAAAAAATTCTGTCTGATCTCTCCTGTCAAATTACCTACAAAATTAAATTATAATTGTAATGTTGATATTTAAAAGTTTTTTATGTACATTTTATTAACACTTGTTTTGGATAAAGTAATTTTTAAAAAACTTATTTTAGCTTCCTTTCTGTTGTAATGTTTACTGATATTGTAAATTTCCACCTTCACAAAAACAACTTATCAATGTATGAAACAAAGCCAAGTTAACATACATTTTGTACAAGATTTGTTCATTTTCAGCTCAAATAGTTTGAAAACTGCATTTTTTTTAAGTTAATGATGAGAAATACTGTAAAATTTAACTTTCTATATGTTATTGATACTTGAAACCATCGGTACTTGGTGAAACTCCATAATTACAGGATTGAGGAAAAACAAGACAAAGGATGCCTTCAATGTCAAAACCATGGTCGTGAATAAATGATGTATTTGTAAAACATACAACTATCTTCTTTTTTTCCTCAATCCTGTTTCTATATGTTTTTTTTTGGAACTTCAAGTTTCTCAACCTAACAAATCATAGATACATCATCTGGTACTTTTTTTGTCTCACAGTCAATTTGTCTTGGAGCTTCCTTCCATTCTTACGTAGACTGTAAATTTTCAAAGTTTCACTTAGTTCACCTTGAAACTAAGCAAATGCTCAAGTGATGAAATAACTTAAGTTACTAATGGTTTTGTATTGTTTGTATAGCAAGAAATTAACTAAATGGGTTTCTCTGCACATTTGTTTATTTTATTGAAGTAACTGCATTAGCAGACAATTTCTGTATACAGGAGTTCCTCCTGTTATAATTTGAGACAAGAAGTGATATGTAGATTCTATGATGTCCCTTAAGTGCAAGTAGAGGCCACATAGTGGTTTCTTACTGAAGCATAACTTATAAAACAATGTCAAGAGTAAGTTCTATTTAAGTAAGATAGAGTAATGTATATACTATCTCTTTACATTAGTTTTAACATTTTGAAAAACTGACTCCAACTATTTCTTTCAATAATGTTGACTAGTGCATGACATCATTAGCCTTATATAGTATTGTTGCCATATAAGGAAGTACAGAAAATGGCTTTTAGGTCAATGGTCATGGTTGTAATGTGTAATGATGTAGTCAGCATATGTTACAAAGCAGTTTTATTTCATTATAAATCATAAACTGATCAAAGAAATAAAATTTACATTTTAAGGGCCTTATAGTTATTATACTTTACGTTTAAAGTATTTGTGTTTTAGGTGGAGTACTGTTTATGATATATTAACTTTTATTAATGCTGGGTCAGAAGTGGTACGCTTTTTCCCCACTGGCATAAAATGAGTTAAATATTATAAAATTTTTAAAGAACAGGTAGTAAAATGCTAATTATTTACTGTATCATGTACACCAATGCTTACTGGTAATGTATGTCTAAGCAAAGGGTGTGATAACTGTTGTAGTTCAGATCACTGAATGTAGGTTTAGTTTTAATTGCAATTAGCATTCCAGTAGTTGAGAGAAAGACAAGTTATTTACTGCTCACTGCCCACCTGTTGTGAGACTGTTCTAAGTACATGTACATGAATCCATCTCAAGCACGTGGTAATGGCTGGATTGAAGGAGTTGGTACCTTAATGTATCTAATGAAAAAGAGAAAATTATAATAATACAGCAGTATATAATTTCTAAAACTGTTTCATTTTAAATATTTATATTCATTAAAAGCGATATCTAGCTGTTGCTAACATAGAACACAGATACAGCATACTAAAATACGACAATCCAATACACGCATCACACCTGCTTAAGTCTATCATGCCTGAGTGTGTCAATTCAACTCGTATGTTTAATGGTTTTTTATAATGCATTGAAACTTTCTATATGTAGCTTTTGCAAGTAAAATATCCTATTTTTATGAACTGTTTATATTTCACTATGATATGATGTTTCTAAGAAATAATTAAAAATGCTCATCTTAGCAGTAGATATCATTAACTAATGTGTCCGTACATTCTTATTTTATAAAACTGTAAATTTTATCTGTTTTAATTTCAAAACCCTTGCATGCTATTTCAGTTTTTATGATCAATGGTTTGCCAAACCAAAAGTTTAAATTGTTAATCAGATAATTTCATTTAATATACATAATAAGTTTTAAATCCATTTTATATTAATTCATATATATACACTAAGGCCCCCACTACAATATGGTTTGCTATAGCACAGAACTCAGTATAATGCAAATCCATCTTAGACCCAAAATTTTTCATTTATGTTATCCTTTCAGAACGTATTTCCAGTTTTTTTATGATGTTTTGAACATTGTTGAAGTATAAAAGCTTCACATAAGACAAACTTATCCCAGAAAATATTCAATGTCACTCAATGAGCAACTCAATAAAATGAAACTCTCTCAAACATTCTCATTTCAGAATTTAAATAAATATGATATTTCATATTCAAAAAACTGTGTTCTGTATTAACTTTTGTATTATCAGTTATGCTTCAACTGTTATTTTAATATCAAATTTTTGACAATAAAACACATAGATTTAGAACCAGCCACTGAGATGGCAGTTTCTTGACTAATTAAGGGGCTTATCCAATAATATTGGCTTGATGCTTTTGAAAGGACCTCATTATAACATGGACTCACAATATGGACTCCGTGGACTGCTTTATAGCAGGGCCTTATTGTATTTATATTACATTTCTTTTAAGCAATTTTCTTTTCCCAATTTGAGCAATTACAATAAGGTTTAATGTAAACAGAGTGACCATGTCAGTCAAATGTAACTTAATACATTTAAGTGAGGAATAACTTAATTAAGCCTATCTCATCTTTTTCTAAGAAAAATAATTCTTTTCCTATAATACTGTAATATCATAACTCAAATGAAGTATTGAATTTTAAAGCAACTTTTTCGTAAACTTTAAAAAAAACATCAGGAACTTGATCATAAACATATTTTTTTCTAGCAACATATCACTAATTTCAGCTTTTATCACTTTGTTCCAATCTCTGTGCACATCTCTGATGAACTGAAAGACATACATTGTCTTTCATTATGTATTCATATGACTAACCCATAACTTCTCAAAGCAAAGATACAGGCAATTACATTGCATCATAATTACCTACATTGTGAAACAATGACCATAATCACTAAAACTACACTTGTATTCAAGCTACAAGGTCAAATAAGCACTATTTGGTTCAAAATTATTTTGACAGTCTTACTAAGGAGCTATGAATGTCATATACTGAGAAAAAAATTCACAAACTTTACAAACACTAATGATTTTGCGATTAAAAAGCAATGTTTTGTCAGTTGGGTACCCTCACTAGTATTGAATAAATTCAACTGTAAAATATTTTTTGTGTGTGTGGAAGAGTGTGTGTAAGTTAGCTTCATATAATTTTTAATTCAATGGTACAATTTTTCCCTCGAGGAGGATTGCAACCATCCAGGCATGATAGAATTAATACTGTTGCAAAATCATTGGCACTATTATTTTCACCCACTGAAGTGCTTCTTTTCCTTAACAAAACTACTTGTAGATTATTAAAAAAAAAGGGTAAGTTCTAATGCAATGTACAATTGTTTCCTTTCTGATGTTCCACAATTTTTTTTTTTTGCAGAAGATCCCAAGCAGCCATTAATGATTTTTTCTTAAAAGAGCAGAATATCTGAAGGCACACGAAAATCACTCGGTGGTCTCATCATGTTCATAAGTGCAGCAATGTGAATTAATTTTTGTTTTTCTAAACCAGATGATAAAATTTTTGTTTTTATATAAGACAACTAGTACCTTGTCTTACAGTGATAAAATGATTTATATTTCAGTGGAAACTAGTAACCTGTCCTGTAAAAAGCATTACAAGATTTCATCTAGGTAAACTGAGTAGGGTTCTTTTTCCTCAAATGTTAACTACTGAGAAAATTAAACACATAACAAAAATCAAAATATTAAGAATGATCCATTTTTTCTTCTAACTTCTCTGATAAAATGAAAAATTAAGAATAATGATGTATTACAACAAGCTGTTTTTTTATTTTTTTTGGCAGGGGTAGGTACACTAAAATAGTAACAAAAAAAAAAACAACAGGATAGGGTTTACTATTGTGAGAAACATATTTAGCACTATTTGTTCTTTAAGCTACAGACGTCTGTTGTCAAATAATCATCCATACTTATCACTCATTATCATCATGATACGTTGCAGGTATGTTAATCACCACTGATTACTTACCTTTTGAGCAATCTTCTCTTTCTAGGCCTAAGTCACTATTACAAGTCCAATTATGATGTTATAACTCAAAAGTTAGTCATATGATGACAACTGACATTGAGGTTAGTCCTGTAAAATATGTTCATTGTTCATTTGTACCTTTCAGAAAGATGTGTATTGTATTATAAACATATGACACCCAAGTATGCTGAGCTGCAACATATAAATACTTAACTGGGTATATAAAAAGAAGAAAGCAAAGGGAGTAGGGCAGTTGTCCATGTAATACTGTATAGGCTATACTATGTAATTTAAAGGTGCTTGTTATTAGTAGCTAACAAATTGAATACATTTCTTTGTGAAGTGTACTATAAAACAACGTTTTTGCCATTCAACATGCATATGTTATTTATCCAGTCCACACAAATTGTGTCTTGTGTTTTGTATAAGGTTTAAATAAACAATTCCCAGCCATCTACACTTTTTATTATATTGAGCTAGTTGAGATTAATATTGATGTCTTAGTGCCAAACGTACTTGGGAACTGTCACACTACAGATAAACCAAAAGAGCTTATTGGAAGAGCTTATTGCAAACTGTAGATTGTGTTGTATTGTTTAAATGTCTAATGTAACAGTATTACACAAAAAAGTTTATTATAAGCCTCATCGCAGCATTTGTACAGTGAACAATAATAATTTCTATTTTTGTAGGTTAATATGATGGTTGCACAAATGGAGAAACATTATTCTACAAATCAGAAATGACTCTCAGCTACCTGAAATAGACAAATTTATAAATAAATTGACATTCCGTACAATACTTTACCACCAAGTGATTGAAATTTATCACTTGTAAAAATTGTGTTTCTTAAGTCTTCACATTTTTTGTAACACTGAACTAACCTTTAGAGAAATATTCAATTAAATCACTTTAACATAGGCAGGTTGAAACACACTTTCCAAAGATGTTACAATCTCACACTGATCCAACCTGTACAATGAAGTGGTTCAGGTCTAAGAGAGGTCTGTATACAAGATACAAAGCAGGAAAAAATTATGAGAAAAGTAAGATAATGGAGAGCCTAGTGTAAAATTTCAGTACAGACACAGTCTTCAAAATAAATTACCTGCCCATCAAAAAGCCATGTACAAGAAATGTACCAGAAGGAATTTCTTGCTTTTATTAAATCAAATTTTGTTTTAAAATATTTTAAATAAAACATATAAACATAAGTTAATATATTACACACCTTATAAAATTATACTTCTGATGTATTAGACACAGATGAGTAGTAAAAAAATAAACACGGTAAAAAGAAAATCATCTTTTTTCTGGTACCTGATACAATACCATTGCTTCCATTACACTGCTTGTACATAATTACAGTAGAAGTTTTTGTTTGTATTTTAATACACATACAATTACTTTCCTTTTGCAAAAGCACAATTGTTTTCCATTTTCCCTTGATTCATTTTCACAAGGTTTTTACAAATATATATATATATATATTTAATGCTCGTAAAAAGATGTCTAGGGTACATTGATGTGTGGTTTGTGATATGTACCTTTTTAATATTAATAATTACTATGGTTGGCAAGATACAAGTTAAACTGAATGAAACCAGCAAATATTTCAGGGATAGACATCATTTAATACAAAACAAATCCTTCTTAACTTCAAACACTTCCTTTAGTATTCATAAGATGAAAATTCACTGATAAAAGTATTATCATACCTTCCTTTTATATGGAGCTTCCAAGAGAGCTTCAATATCAAAATCATCAGCCATCTTTTACCCTTAAAAAAAAAATAATAATAATTTAGATCTCACAATTTAAAAGTTGAATATTGACTATTTACTTCTTTCAAAACAACAAGAATGTTGAAACTTATATTTCTGTTAGTGGAAAACTTATTAACCCTTATGGGTATTACAAAAGACAAAGATTAGTTTGATGCTGCTTTACCAAAAGTGAAATTTAATTCAAAATGCAATTTAAAATAATAAAACTTGTTCTATTCATCACTGCATGTAACATATTGACAACATGAAACCATTTATTTCTTCAAAGCTATCCTTAAACAACCATAAGTTACACAAAATCATTGATTCCTCTCTTAAACTCTTGTAAAGTACTGGCCTCCACTACTAATTCATTCTGTAAGCCAACCACACCGTCTTATCTGTAAAATAGCCTGTCTTCTCCAAATTTTAAACTTGTGGGTCCTGTAATTTTGTTCTCTTTCCAGACTAAAGTAAAAAGAAATCAGAGGCTTTGATCTTATCAACTCCCTAAATAATTTTGTACACTTCAGTATGAACACCTCATACCCTTCTATTCTCAAGACCAAAAAACTTAATAGTTGGGTTGCCGACCTCAAAAGAGCATAGAGTGGGTACACAGTTGTTTTTTTTTTGGTTGTGATGGCTTCTCCTTCATTTTCTGATCAAGATTCTAATGCATGCCAAGTTAGTATGCTTGAGAATATTTATATTGCTAAAAATTTGTTTTAAATTCCAATATAGCAGAATAGAAACACCACATTTAGTGGTGCTATCAGGAGTAGATCTGGGCAATTAAGTTCATTACCTATGAGCCACAATTACATTAACCCTTTCGAGACGAGTCACAGGTGAAAGGCCATGTCATCGTGTTTGTTGACTCGCATTCAAAATTTTATTGAAATAATATTTCATAAATTTATGTCAATAAGTTTGGTATCAATCTGTAGATTATAATTCAAATTTTTGTACCATACATTACTCAATTTCTTAATTTAAAAGTAAATAATAAAAAAACACAGATAAACATAAATTTTTGTGTGTCACATAGTATGTTGAATGCAGCACTGGTTCAAATTAGATGTTTGTGAAGTCAAAATACTAAGTCTATAGTTTTGTATGAATTAGAAACTCAAATTACCTATATTTACAAGCTAGAATATAAGATAAGAGCCTCTTGTCTTTTCAATTTGCTAAGATATTGCTCGCGTAATAAATCAAACACAGTGGCACCCCACCCACCTTTTTCCATTTTTGGAAACACTCTCTTATATACACTTACTTCTATATATGACATGAATAACCAATTGGAAGCTCAGAATGTCCCCCTAGTGGCTTTCTCAGCCATTTTAAATTGTTAGAACACCATTTCTTTCTTTTTGAATCAAGATTTCAAGGAGGTAGGGTGTGTCTTTAGTCTGCTCAAAATTTCATATCTTTTTTAGACTAAAATACATCTTAATTACTAAGCTTACTATAGTGGAATTCTATGGTATCAATGTAGTAATTTATGATTTTTTAGTTATTCAAATGTATATATAAAACATAGAAAAATATTTTGTTGCATTTCCTCCACATGCAAAATTTTTAGAGGCTTAGCAACCTACATCAAGCAACAACCGAATACAAAGGTCATAACTAGAAGAGATAATTGTTTGCTTTAATTCTTTATTTACTGTTCTATGTTTTAAGAAGAACAAGTTTTAAGAACTTATTTCAAAATAGCAATAATCTATATACATATATAATGTATAACTGAAATTTGACT